CAACTGCTGTGGGAACAGGAGGAGGGCAAAGCCCGTAGGGGCCGGAGGTGAGGGTACCACCTAGGGTACTGGCCAGAGTAACCTGCCTGATCTACCCAGAGCCTCTGTACCAGATAACACAAGCCGCTCTCCCCCAGCATGGGGATACTGAGGCTAGTCAAAAAAGGACCAGCAGAGCCCTGTTCTATTGGCCCCAAGGGTTCTAACCTTCACCCCAGGGTCAGTGTGCCAGAAACTAATCTCACCCCCCCAAGAGTCCCTAGTGCTAGTGGAAGGGGGGCAGGATTTCCCCACTCCCTTCCAGGCCCTTCAAGCCCAGAGGGAGGCCAGCATCAGAGGCAGGAAATGAAGAAGAATTTGCGATCTAATTGAGCTGGCGGGGGATTAGGCCACAGAATGCAATTACAGGGGCTGGAGCTGGGCCAGGGGCACTGACACCCCTAGATGTGGCCTGGCCCAGGTGACTATGCCTAGCCAGTCTCTGGTCAAAGACACCCTACAGGGAGGATGGGGAAGGATGGGCAGACAAGGATTGAGGCCAGAAGGCTCTTCAGCACACAGAAGACTGCAGGGTTCCAGCTCTATGTAACACTCAGAAATTTTCCTGAGAATGCTACCCCAGGGAACAGCCCTATGAACTCTCCCATGGGGAGCAGCAGATAAGAACATACACTATCACTGCCTCTGCTCACGTATGTACACACGTGTTCATGTTCCCAGGAAAGCCCCACATATCCATGTTCACTTGCATGGGAACAGACTCCCAACCAGCAGACACAGAGCTCTGGTCCTTTGCTGCCATTGCCTCCACCAAAGGCGGGGGGACTCAAAGCAACAAAAAAAAATACACCCATGACCTTAAAATCCTTTTATTCCCGTAATCACAGGCTGCCATCGCCGTGGATACGCGCTGTCACCCCGGCCCCAGCCTGTCTCCCTCCACGGCTTCCAAAACTCCCAGCAGGCAGGCAGACGGGGAGGCTGCCCAGTTACTGACAGGGAGGGCAGGGGAGGGAAAGGACCGGGTGGGAGAGGTTCGATAGTACACATGCTCACACTCAGGGTCTCAACCAGAGAGGGAGAGACTCAAAAAGACAGACTGGCAGACAGAAATGCAGAAAGGGAAAGGAGCACAGACACCAGCCACCAAAGACAGACACAGACCACTGCCCACACAACTCAGATATGCCCACTCCCAGGTTCACACACATTTTCCCAATTCAGATACACCACTCAGAGAGTGCCAGACATTTACAAGCATATACAAAACAGACATACACAGATCACAAACATATATTCTACAAAATCCCAAGCATACACAACTCAGAATATACATATTCTCAGATTCCCAGAGACAAATCCAACTTCAGAGTCACACATGTGTACATATACAATGCAGACACACACAACTACTAGATCCACAGATACACATGCTTATACTCCCATATCCCAAGACAGACGGACATACATTTAACACAGATGCACAGATATACATGTCCTGAGTCATAAGCACACACACTGCCCAGATTCCCACATCCCAGGCCAACAGACTAGACCCGCACAGCCTCCTCTAGCAGATGACACTGCCTTTGGCTTTAGGGGGCAGTTAGAATGGTTACCAATTCCTGGGTATTTGAGGGGGGCAGTCCTTTCTCATTGCCTGCAGCCTGGGAGGTGGGCTCAGTGTTGGGGGGAATAAGGAGGGAAGTAAGAGGAAATAACAAAAAAAAAAAAAACGTGAGTGGGATATTCTTGTTGGGCAGTAGCGCGTGAGTAACTGGGGAGGGTTTTTGTGGTCTGGTGAGTTTCAGCTATGAGTGAGAGTTTAACTATTAATACACTTAATCGAGGACACTACACATACACACACAGAGGCCGGGGGCTAGAATAGGACCAGGTGATGAGGATAAGAGAGGGAGAGTTGAAAAAAAACTGGAAAAGCCCCAATCAGGGCCCCACAAGGTGGGGGAAGAGGGCGGAGCTCCCACCCTGGACCTGCCTCCAGAGCAGGCTCAATCAGTGTTTCATTTCTGTACCCCCAGATGGGAAGGGCTTGACACACAGTAGGTGTTCAATAAACATATATTGGGCTAATAAGTGACTTCTATATAAAGAATAGGCAATAACAACTAATAACAATAATCGAGTCCTGCCCCTTCCTTGGCCAATTAAGGCATGCTCTAGAGCACCTTGCTTGGAGAGTTACCCCTCCAAACATGAGCTCTACAAAAGCAGGCCTGGGTCCCACTTATCAGTATCCCCCCATTCCTCCACCCTATCCTGCACCCTAGAAAGTCAGCTGACCTCAGCCCAGCCCACATCTCTCCTTCCCAAGGAGAATCCTCATGCCCATTCCACCCTCGCATAAGTAACTAGATGGGGTCCTAAAGAAGATGGGGTATTGAACTCCTAGAGACTTGATTCTCTATCCAAATGCAACCCTGCCCATCCCACCCCCACACTCCTATGAGCCTCAGTTTCACACTTGCCAAATGGGTAGGAGGCAGGCAAAAAAGCTAGAAAGAGGCAGCAAGAGTTGGGGTTCACAGTGGGAGCCCACAGCACATAAGCCTGTGTTGGCCTGAGCCGTGAATGTAGAATCCTCTCCTCCCCTCCCCTTCCCCCACCCAGCCCAGCCCAGCCGGGTGGACATTCCAGGCCTCACGTGACATAGACGAGGCCGCTGGCCCACGGGTAAGTCAACAGGCTCTGTCTGGGGAGAGATAGGAGGCCCTGGCCAGGGTCACCTGCTGAGCAGAGAAAACACCCGGGCCCAAATACACACACATAAATAAGGCGCCAATGGACAGCCAGCCAGCCAAGGGTCTATCCTCTGCAGAGGAACCTCTGCCCCCACCTTGGAAAGGGAGGTGGCATGAGGAAGGGAGGTGCAAGACTGGTTAGGGGCCTCCATGAGAGAGCTTCGGCTCCTGGAGGATTGCGGGGTGCGGGGGGGAGACTTCTACAAAGATCTCCAGGGCTAACTGAAAACTCAAAGACCAACCTCCCTCAGCTGTTCCCACCCCTTCCCAGGGCAAAAATCACCCCCTCTCTCTCCTCCCCAAGGAGAGAGAACAATTTCCGTTCTGGGATGGGGGTGACAGCTGCAGAGCGGGCCACTACTCCCCCCCTCCACAGCTCTTGGTTGAGTCTCAACCAGGGAAACTGCTAAATCAACACTACGCAGTAGTAGGTAACACCGGCCTCAGTCTCTCCGCATCTCTCTCAAAACGGGGTTTGGGAGGAGGCTTCGGGTCCCAGTTCCTGGGTTTCCCGTGGAGGCTCGAACTCAGGGTATGGGGCCTTTCAGGAGGGGGATAGGGGCAAGCTGAGGCTAGTACACCCCCCTAAGAACGTCTAATTTAAATGCTCCCAGTTGCACCGACGGACACCTCCCGCCCCCGCGAGTCGGGGCAGCTGAGGTGGCGCCGGGCGTTCAAATAGCGCTCCAAACAAGTCCGCAGCGACCGCGCGCACGCAGCCCCCGCCAGGCGGCCCCAGCGGAAAACTTGAAAGGGACTCTGTTTGCCGGCCGCCCTGGGGCGGCTCGGGCGGGGGCGAGGGCCGAACCATCACACATGCCCCCCTCCTCGGCGCTTCCTGCGCAAACGCGGGGGGAGGGGCTGGGCTGGCCACAAAACCTAGGGCTCCGAACAGCGCCCGTAGCGCGGGGAAAAGGCGGAGGTCAAGAGGCTGGCTCGCAGGATACCACCCCCCCGCAGCACCCCCCAATCCGAAGACGCGACTCTCAGACCACCCAGGGTCCAGAGAGCAAAGTAGAGAGGGGCTGTCAACCCCGCAGACCCCCGTCACAGGAGACAAGAGGAGGGTGCGGGGTTTCCGAATGAGTCTCTACAGAACCGCCCCCCCTCTCCAAATCTGCCGGTGCCTCCTTCCAGCCCATGGCACCAGCCCAAAAAAAAATCCTGAAGGGAAAAAACCAAAATGCGATCTTGCTCCCTCATTGGAAGCTTTAGCTCTTCTGACAGGTCCCAGAGGCGGCCCCCCATTTAAAAACCGGGGTCACTCACTTTCTGTCGATCTTACAAATAAACAAAGCCAGGCGCACCCCGCCGGAAAGCAGCCCATTCCGGGAGAGGACAACTTCCCCCAGCAAGAAAATTAACACATTCTTCTCGCGGCGGTTCGGCCCCTCACTCTGGGGAACCCGAGGGGAGGGGGCCTCGGAGCCGAACTTCATGGGTAAATGTGGGACCAGAGCCGTGAGGCGGGCGCCTGGGACACCCGCCTCCCACAGCTCTGCGGCTAGAGGAACACCCCGATTCTCCCTCCCAGGCTTTGCACACCGCTTGGCCACGCGGGGCTCGGGAGATAGTCTGAAAGACCCCCCAAGGCTGGGGCGGAAAGGGGGGAGAGGCCGCGGGGCTCGTGGGGGGAGGGCGTGATACTTTGATGGAAAAAAAAAAAGGTCAAACTTGATCAGCCCGCCAGGCACCCTGCGGGCAGCGGGGGCGAGGAGCTAGAGGGGAAAATGTAAAAGTGGCCGCCACCCCCTCCAAGTGGAGGGGGAGACTCAACCACGCGTGGTCCAGGGCACTTAGTGCATTTACCGTCGCCCCCAAAACACAGGGCTGCGAGGGGGTCTGATGCGGGGAGTGCGCGCCGGGGATCTCCAATCAGCCGCCCCCGCAGGCGGAGCGCCCGCCCAGCACCGAGAGGCGAGGACCCGGGCTCCCGCCACCCCAGCGCCCTCCAGCTCGAGTACTTGGGGAACGGACGGTACTCCGCAGGGAGAGCCCCAGCCCCAATCTACGGCGCCCAACCCGCAGTCCCCGACCCTAAAACCTCTCTTTTTGTCTGAACTCAGTGATCTGCGACCGAGCCGACTGCAGCTTGGGAAGGCTTGGGTACAGCAGCGGCCACCGAGCAATCACCGGCGCTAGGGCTCCCAGCCTCCGGGGCTCCGGGGCTCAGGCTGCGGGCGTCCCCCGCTCCTCCCAAACACGGACCCCTCCTTTCCCGTCCCTGGCTCTCCGCACCTGAACTTCGGGGGAGCCCGCGCCGCCAAACTTTCAGCCGACTTGCAGCGAACTCCGGCCCCGGCCGCGCACCGGGCCCCGGGGGAGGAGAGGGAGGTAGGCGGGGAAGGGGACCTCCGGGGCTCCGGGGCTCAGGCTGCGGGCGTCCCCCGCTCCTCCCAAACACGGACCCCTCCTTTCCCGTCCCTGGCTCTCCGCACCTGAACTTCGGGGGAGCCCGCGCCGCCAAACTTTCAGCCGACTTGCAGCGAACTCCGGCCCCGGCCGCGCACCGGGCCCCGGGGGAGGAGAGGGAGGTAGGCGGGGAAGGGGAGAGGG